TATATATATAGTGATTTAGCCTCCCTTATTTGAGCTTCCACCTTCCTTCAGCATTTCCGGAATGATGTTAGCGTGACCTGCTGCCTTTCCGTTTTTTAGTTGTTTTAAAGCTTTCAGAATTTCTTCTTCTTCAATCTCTCGTTGAGCCTCGGAGCCAACATTACATATCCTGTTTTTTTGGTCATAGTTTGCTCTTCTGGCATCCTCTTTGCCTATTTTGGACTCGTACAAACCTGTGTAAAACACCTCTGCTACCTTGAGAGTCTCTCGTCGATCCTGTGTTATGTTACCCTATCCGTCTCTCAACTTGATCATTTCTTTTTTATATGCATTTTCTATTTTAAAGACGTTCAAGCCTCAGTTTTTCTATATTAACTCTTGTATTCGATTTTCTTGATGCTTTTTTATGTTTTGCTTGGCTTATTCCTTTTCTTGTTTTCAACAAGCTCTCTTTTTCCAGTAGCTATTTCGTTTGTGTCTGGTTGATACGCAAACATCGAGTCACTTTTCCGGAGGGGCCACAACATAAGTACCCTACCCGAAGCTCAAGTCAAGATGTTTGCCTGCCCTTCCCCTCCTCGGAACTAATTAAAAACTCAATTATTTACAACGCCAAGAAATTATACAATCATCTTCCATCCCATCTTAAATCTCTCCCTACGTCTTCCAAATTTCGGAAAGGGGCAAAATCACACTTCCTAAAGACACCTTTTTATTCTGTGACTGATTTTTACTTGGTGTAGTGTCCTTTTTCTGAGTTTGGCTACTCTTCAACTTCATTAAATTAAACTTTTCCGTTTGGGCATCACATGCGGTAGTTACCGGGGGGTTAATTGGGTTTGTATGGTAGTTACAATTTTTTTACTTCGGGGTCATCAGTTTGCAAGTTCATGTTTGTTTTTATTGTTTATCAACGGGACCGCAAGTTGCAAGCGGAGCGAACTCGTATTGGGTTCAAGTTCAACGAGCAAAATTTCAATATCTCGGACACTAACGTCAATTGTTATAACTATCAATTAGGTTTGATCACGATCCGCTTGCAGTAACATAAACAGGGTCAACAGTTGATCCTTGTTATGGTTTGGAGTGCTACTTGATTCCATTCACCCATGCTTTCCACTTTTAAATTGTGTGGTTATTCTGCACCGTTTGTAGCGATGACTTACTCTGATGACCTCTGTGTTTGTCCATGACGATTGTACGTGATATATTTTGTACTGTTTTCTTATATTTTTTTTATTTTTTACCATTGTTGACTGTAGTGTACGTAGTTTATGTTTAATATTTTGTTTTGCTTTTTTTTACTCGCTTTGTCCATACAATTTGTGAATTTTTCCGTGGCAATAAAGCATATTTTGATTGATTTGATTGATTGATTGATTGTATTGTAAGCTTTCCTATTTTTTTAGTTCTCGATGTTACTAAATTTGCCGTTGTTTCTTTCAATATTTTAATCAGTTCACTGTTTGCTTCGTACGGGCTTCCGTGTGATGATGTTTCGTTTTTTAGCCGTTCTGCCTGCTTTTTGTTATATATTGGCTTATTGTAATAGGATCTACATGGTGTTAGGTGCTGTTCAGCAACGTCTTGAACGGTATGTTTATTTGGTTAGCACGTCGTCTATTTCAATTTTGTTTTTCCGTCCAGACTGGCCCAGGTCCATTTTCTGAGAGGTCTTTTTTTGAAAACGTATTTATTATGTATAATTGTTGTCTTCCCAAGTAATTTACAAGCATCGGCCCTCTTTCATTTATTTTCCCCAGATCGAATTGTCCAACGTACTGTAAGCTATTGCACTGTTCTCCTATTCTTAGAGTCTCCTTCTAATCCTGACAGAACTAAATGTGTAAAATTCGTAGGTTCGGATTCAAGTGTGCGCTTTTTTGAAAGAATTAAGCGACTGCTAATCAAAATTCATTACCCATAAAAGAGAAAGTAGAAATGTAATAAGGTTTTCACTTTGAAAGCAAAACCTATATACGTATATAAATTATATATGGATCGAATACGGTGCAGCGGCCTGACTTAAATTAAGCATTATATATTCGGAAAACAATGATTGAAAGCAAACGTTATTAAAGCTAAAACAAGAATTATTAATTTCTCTAGAAACTTCGAGTTAATTCGCTAAAAATTTGAATTTAGAAAATGAGCATTTCCCAAAAGTAAACTTTCGCAATTTTAGAAGCACTGCAGGGGATGTTTTATATCGTATATAAAGTTTGAGCTGAATGTATGCATATAAATTTGACTTCACTTACTTTCAATAAAAATATACGAGTTTTAAAGGAAGCTCTAAAAATTATTTATGAGGCAGCGTTGTAGTGCTTTTCTGTAAAAATTGCTTCACAAAATGCCTAAGGGCAAGCCTTTCTTAAACTACTTCGTTCCGTATACAATACGTATTGTTAGATGAAAGACCAGTAACATAAAGTTCATGGACCTAATCCACAATTTTAACTTAATTTAATATATTTAATTGCTTGTTTCAAAACAGATTGTATTTATTGCAAAAGCATTTAATATAACATCTGATATGTCGAGACAACATCAACTTAATGCACTTTTTATTATATGTTTTACTAAACTGAAATTCTAACATTTTTCTGGGTAGTTTTTTGCTTCATTAAAATTGATTGTCTGACTGCTGGTCGGAGGGCTTTGTTCATTTTTTGATAATAATAGACAGAAGCTCTGATATATGTAGAAGTACAGCTAGGCAGTAGATTTTTATCCCGTGAAGTGATCTCATTTTCAATCGTATGTATTTGTTCGGTAGTGCTGTGTTGTTGTTCCGATTAAATTTGATTATCTTTTAATCCGGATTTTAATATTTCCTATGCGTTTATTTTAATATTTTGCATTCACGAAATAGTTATACGTTTATAAAATAAAGTCCTTTTTGTCTCTTTCTTCATTTACAAATAAATATGGTATATTAGGTTGTTGGAATTTTTTTCAAAACTTGAATGTAGCATTCTGATTAAATCTCATCAATCAAGCCCTTCAAGTAAGTTTGATAAATCCCATTTCAGCTTAGGAGAAAATATATTAGATCAATCAATACACAGAGGACTATGCATTTTGCATGTTAAAACTTACTGCAGCTTTAGATTTTAAATAATAATAAACTTTGAAAGTATACTGTTGGATAGACCTCCCGTAGCATTTCCGTTGCCAGTCTTATTAGAAGTCGAGGAAAGTTATTATCCTAATTCCGAAAGTTGTCTGTTTGCCCGCAACTCATCCGACTTTGTATCCTTCCGCATTTTGCTAAATGTTTAGAATTAGTTTTCTACAGCCTTAATTGCTCTTTGTGTGAAACATTGAAGCTTTGATATACCTAGCTGTCTTGGTTTTCATGGCTTTGTGAAATGTATTTTATTGTTTCCAATTTCACACTGAAATACCTATGGGAACAATGGTAAGTACCATACATTTATTTCCTTTAATAAAATTAATTAACGTGAAAAACACCACTCCGAGCTAAAAGTTTTAACATTATAATTACTGTTAGATTTACGAACTTTTTGATGTGCAATTCAAATTAAATGTTGGGTTAATTATCCATAATACAAAAATACATCGGTCGGTTTTAGCGAATGAAATATAGTTTAGATTTAGCTACCATGAAAACCTATTAACATATAATAAGCATCAGGCAATTCGAAATGAATATTGCGATTGAAAAAAGAATCTACAATAAGTATAACTTGGTATTACTTAATATGGATTTTCCATCAGAACCATAATAAAGGTAAATGTCAACTTTCTATACTGAATAATTATGTCATCCAGTATTCATATAAATAGACCTAGAATGTTAATGAGCATGGCCAATTTGCTGATATTTCGTCTTATTTTTCTCGAAAATTGAACAGCGAATTAATATAGATCAAAATATAAATTATTGAAAACAAAACTGCAACTTCTGGGTATAATTTTTATTTTCACCTTATTAATTCAAGCCAGTGAGAACTTGCTAATCTCTGTGTCTATAAAATTTGATCTGATTTGTTGCTGAGCTTTCGAATTCGACCATACTTGTAGTACTGAATCCGTTTGAAGTTGCTTAATTACTACTAGGATACGTCTTCTAGTAGATAAAATACTTCAACGAGGGACAAAACATTGAAGAACTCCTTCACTTACTTACTTCCTAATTTCAATATATGAAATTTGTTATTTATTCAATACTATTTCCATATCACTTAAAGTTAATACCATGTAGTTACAAATAGGAAACATTTTAGGAATATAAACTGAAATGAAGGTAAATTTTACTTATGTACGTTTTTTTTGCACTACAATGCCAAGTGCAAACTATTACAACGGAAAAGATGTTTATTATCTGATTTATTAGTGACTTAAGATTAGGTTTCCATCATATTTCTATAACCCTGTTTAAGTTGAGGTAATAAACCTTAAGGCCTATAAATGCTATCCCAAATAGGTTATATTTGTTCTTCTCTGTTATCATCGAATGGTGGCGGTCCAGGGGGTTGATCAAATAAATCCTTGCCCTTCTTGGCTCTCTCTTGGAATCGTTCGCAAGCATTTTTATCCTTAATTTGACCAGCAGGGCAACTCAGTTGGATTGAGTTAAATAAGCAGTGTTTCAGAACAATGCCGGAACGGCTACAAAGTTTATTGCCCTCAGTGTAGAACTTTACTGGATTTTTTGTTGCATTTATGGCTTCGTTGACACATTTCTCTACAATTCCCTGTGAAACTTTTTCAAACCAGGTTTGTGTCGTGAATGCTTCTTTGAGGTAGGTGGAAATTTGTTCCGGTTTTGGTGATCCATCGTCAGAGACCTAAGACAAATTTATTAATGGCGGATCATCACAAATATATATTTTATTGTAATAAACTCAAAAGCGAAAGCCTCAAAATTGAAATGTTTTATCCTTAAGCAATGATAGTATTGAATTATTTTGAAACGTGAATCCGACTTGAAAATATTACTTCATATGAAGACGAAAGACATATAGTTTCACACACAATGGTACTTTGTTTTCACAAGTTGATTTAAAATATTTTCCGATTGGCACATCTTTCAGCTGATAAAACCCCGAAAACGGAATTTTTATGAATTTTAACTCATTGAATTGATGAACTTAATGTTTGAGATGCTTGTAACTTGGACTTATTAATTGAGGAATGAATTGAATATTGAGGGTTAATGTTAACATTAACCCTCAACATATTTAATGATTTATGCAAAATTTTATACCTTGTTACGTAACTAGCTAGATTGCTGCTGTCAGTCTGCAATTTCCTGTGTAATGCCGCAAAATCCCAAAAATTAATAGCTGTAGCTGAATATGTTTATTACATTGCGGCCCATTTTCGATTTGAATAAATTTGGTGATTTTTTGCAATACTATAGGCATACTAATCTCAAACACGACCCTGTATACTCTATCATTCGCCGATGATCAAGTGTTAATCGCGCAATACCATGAGGAGTTGAGCTATATGACCCGAAAGCTAATTGAAGAATATCACACGGGGATCTGCAAGTAAACACCCGAAAGACAGCGTACATGGTGGTAAACCGAGAACAAACGGATGTTGATCTGGAAGACACAGTTCCATCAAACAAGCAAAATAATATCGATACATGAGAGTTTAAAATCACCGAAGACGGACTTTTCGACCCCGAATATGCCAAGACAGACAGGCGATCGCTCTTTTAAGTGCACTACTTTGCGGCATAAGCATCACCAATGAAACCAAAAGGCTCATATATGTATGCTTCTATTGTAATGAGAATAACCACCTTCGGATCCGAGGTGTGGCTATTGACAGAAGTGATGAATAAACGCCTTAAAGCAACCGAAAAGGATTTTTGGATTGTTGGATTTGGCAGGAATATCGAGAAGGGAACGCATACAAACGAGGTAGTGAGAGAAATGATGGGAATAGCGGATTCTATAACAGATGACATGTACAACAAGCAACTAATATGACATGGTCATATGCAAAGAATGCAAGAACACCGAATTCCGAAGCAAGTGATGAACTGGCAGGCAAGAGAGCGAAGACGACCCGGAAGGCCGAGAAAGATTTGGAGAGAAGGTACCCATCTACAGGAATCGTAGAGACAGAGAGCTTGAAGGCGATCCACGGAACGACCGAGACAGATGGAAAAGGGAAATGGGAATAAGTCATAGAACGCTATAATTCTACATATAGATAGATAGAGGTAATTTTTTCATGACACATGTTTGAATGTCTCATATATTAAAACTCCATCCGCTTTGGGAAAGACTGATATTAATTGGGTTGATTGAATTAAAAAAATATTTTCAAAATTATACGAATGATGTTGCTTTTAAGTACTGCGATTATTGAAATCTTGCCGAGTTCTGGAATACCTTGAAAAATCAGTTACTTGTTAAAGCAAATATTTTTCATCAGAGACCATAGCACTAAGAAAAACTAATGAAGTGAAACTTCCTTTACAGCAAGCTCACGATTACTGGACAAATTAAAGTTCCGTCACGGCATTTGAGAGTTGAATGTTTCATAAAAATTTTGCTGATGGCGTGTGGCTTTTAGCAGATTTTATAAAAAAACTTTATCAGACCAAGTACAAACATAGGTGGACACTGAAATTATCACAATAATCAGTGTACGTTCTCTGCATTAGTATAGTACAGTTGTCTATAAATAATTCAAAACTCATTGCAAATATACATTATACAGGGTATTCCGTAAATATGTTAAAATATTTTAGCAGCGTGTTCTCCTAGTAATTTTAGAGGGGGGATTTTCTGAGAATTTTTTTAATTTGAGGTTTTATTGTTGAGATATTTGACTTCCAAAATGGCGGAAAATTTTAATTTTTGTTGTGTATTTTTAAAATGGCTAAACACATAAACTTCAATTTTGGTATACATTATAATCAATCTAATTGAGTGCCATTCTATGGTACTGTTTTGTGGTTCAGTTTACTGCTTTTATACAGAGTAGAAATGTGGAACCCCTACTTTCATTTTCTTCAGAACTTTTTTGTGTGCATATGTACTTTTATCCACATATTTTTTTAAATACTACAAATTATTTACCTACTTTTTTATCTTTTATTGTTTTTTCCTAAGACCACTAGTTTGCCCGCAAAAAAATAAATTCGTTTTCTTTGCGTTTTGAAAATGTGTAAGTAATTAAGTTAGCTTTTAAAATCTAATAACGTTTTCATATGACAATTTTGCTATTGCATTATTAGCTACTTACTAACAACCTAAATTATTTTTCGAAAATGTGTATTTCGGTTCAAATTACAATTATTAAGTTTTAATAAATTTAACTAAACTTACTTAACTTCAAAACTGTCAGCAGCCGCTGTCAAATTTTTGGCATTGAAAACTAAACGATATTTAACTGTCATAGACCCAGCCTCCTTTGTTTATTGCACTTTTTGTATTCAAACGTTATTAAATAAAAATCCCTTAGTTACGTACTTACACATTTTGAGAACGGCAAATAAGGGTATTTTATTTGTTTGTGGAAAAACTAGTGGTCTTAGGAAAAAACAATAAGTGATAAAAAAGTAGGACAATAATTTGTAGTAACTAAGAAAATCATGCCGATAAAAGTCCAAGTGCATACAAAAACGTTCTGATCAAAACAAAAGTAGGGGCTCCACATTTCTACCCTGTATAAAAGTAAACAGGACCACAAAACACTACCATATAATGGCACTCAATTAGATTATCATGTATACCAAAATTGAAGTTTACACGTTTAACCGTTTTAAAGAAACACAACAAAAACTAATATTTTCCTCCATTTTGAAAATCAAATATCTCAACAATGAAACCTGAAATTAAAATAATTCTCAGGAAAACCCCCTTCTAAAATGACTTGAAGAACACGCTGTTAAAATATTTTAACATATTTACGGAACACCCTGTAAAAATACTTTTTCTTGCGAACAGAAAGGTAGCACAAATGGTCTTTGAAAGTATATCAATTCCCAGCGTACTTTTCTATCATTTTGTGTGCGTTTGTGTCAGTGTTTGTATTTTGCGTCATACCGTTTTGATCAAATAGCTCATTAAAAAAACAGAACATATACCTTTAATTCCAAATCACAAATATCACCGTTCACAGTTTAACATGTTAAATAATTTTCATACTACTAACGTCATTAGAAATATTTGAAAATCTTACCAGTCCTTGTTTCTGCAGCTTGCACTGCTCCACGCACTGAAACATTTGAAATAAAAAATATTAGAACGTTTAGACGCTTCTAACTCTAATATACGTCTAGCCTATACAAACTATGATTTGCCAAATATACATAAATATACGCCAATTTTTCAAAGTTGTTAAAGATTTTAAATTATAAATAATTCATCTAACTGACACACAACACATATTGTATAAAGAAAACACAATATTATGTAGGTACTATTTAAATGTCCTTTTATGTACTACGAACAACTTACAATCATATCGCTTTTCCTCTTTTCCACAGCTTCACAACTGAACAGGTCAAAATTCCGGTGATTTCCAAAACCTCGATCAGGTTTGCTTTCCTTAACACCTCCAGTAATATCTTTAAAGCAGAGTCTAACAATCTCCTTTTCTTTTTCCTGGAGAGAGTCCAAAACGTCTTCACCACAACAAAGTTTTGGCTTGCGGTGATGACGTCGTCTACATTTTTCATCGGAATTCTAAAAGTTACTTGTTTATAACGACCATGTACTCTGAACCCATACAATTTGTCATTTTGTAAAAGCACTTAGTAAGTAAACTTTTAATGAAATCACACAAGCAAGTTTTTTTGCATAGTTCAGCCTATATAATGATGTCTCCTATTTTTTGTATACATTTTCTTAGCTAATTACAATTTGTGCAAAAGCTTTCGGGAAAACATACCACAGCTTCTTCGTTACGTTTTGCTCTTGGATGAAGGTAGGTGTTATCCAGAGAATCGAAGATATCCTCGAAATCCGAAGACAATATTTCATCTGGAAAATACCAAAATCTAATTTTAATTTGCAACCAGATCCGCAGGATCATAATTAAACATGATTTTCCAAATGCATAATCTCTACAAAACTTTAAGCATTGATACTGTGAACTCAACAATTTGAAACTGCATTTAGTTTGAAATTATTGCCTAATCTTACCATGTGGTTTGTTTCAAATAACCAGTTTGATCTTATTTCTCTTGTATTAAATAAGTGTGCCCTTGACACGATTTATTTCATAAGTTAATGGATGTTACTGAACTTCACAATGGGTTCATTGCCAGAAGTTAACCAACCTGTGCTTAATAATAACACCTTTGACTTTGCTAAGGTCGTAGATTAAATACGATTTCTTGTTATGCGCAAGTTAAATAGCAAATAATGGATAAAGTTTCAATATTATCTTGCAAACCCAAATTTTTGAAGGAAAAAAACCTCTTTCTTCCATATATGTTGGTTATTAAAAATAGTATCTAAGAGTTTTTTTAGAATTGGTTATTGTGAGGAATGCTGGAAATTCAAAAATTGTCTATTGTCCTGTATGTATCTAATGTCTTTTTCAATTGTGACAAAAGCGGTATTTATTCACATTATCTCCCTTTGCTTAAGACGTCACCAGACTACTATGGATTTTCCCGTTTCGTTTCCAAATAATTATGTTTTGTGTGCTCCAAATATCCGTTATTTGTTTTTTTGTCTATCAACTTTCTTAGTGAATAGCTTTAACACCCTTCAACAGTAGTAAGCAGATGACGCTACTCTTAATTTAAGTTTAAATAAGCCAAAGTTTTCATGTATATTATTTTCATAGGTTGCGTTTTTAGTGACGCCATTTGCGTTAGGAACATTGCATCAATTGCATTAGGAATAGGTTTCTGGAAACTATTACCTATTCTAGTTCGATATTTGTATTTCTTGGAATGGACTAAGGACAACACTTGAAAGAAACTATCTAATGGAAATTTAAGAACTAAAAAAGCTTCAGCGAAATATCTCTCAAGTACTAAAAGTTTGTTGATAAAGAAATAGATAATAAAATATTGCGAGACTTGCAACTCTTCTTACTAAAATGTTAAAAATTCTGACGTTGTACGTTCTGACGTACAATTTTTTTATTTTTATATTCTAGACATACAGCCGGTTTTATTCAAACATAAAAACTATGTTAAAAATATGAACCAGGCAATATTATCAAATTTTATTACCATATAAAAATCACTGTTATGTCCTATACGGAGTGACAGCTTGTACCCTCACTTATTACAACACAACAAAGTTGCTTTTGTTATGTATTATATACTTCATTTGCATAGCAATCAGAATCATGTAAATATGTGTGGTTTAGATTATTTGTGGATATATGATCAAATACATTTATAACATTGCATTGCAGCAATGAAGCATTGCCAGAAACTGTGACTGTTTTTCGAAAAAAATAACTAAATATATGTTTTTTATTTTATGATTCAACATTTCCAAATTATAACCAGATCTAAATTAATTTATTGATCATTATTCATTGGCGAGATGTAAGATTGCAGGTAAAGTTTGAAAAATACAAAAAAGCTGCCAACTCAAACGTAACTTGTAACTTTACATTTCACAACTTTTACAGTTCTGTATGTGTAGTGGTTCGGATTTGAAAGCGAAACTACTAATAGGAGGACCAAACTCAACAAATTTACTAATGTATATTAAGTTTGGAATACGCGACCAAATCATCTATAATTATTTTCCGTGATTGAACTGAAATTAACAAAATAATTTATAAAATCTAAAATCAGCACTGTTTCGAAATTTGAACTTCGGCAGGTTTCCAATCAAAGTCAAGCTTTATTCGCATACATTGGAAACATACAGTAAGTCATAAAGTGAATGTAATCACCTACTTCGTGTATGTACAAGAAAAAACCGTTGAATAACCATTAAAAACTTTAACACCTAATAATTATATACATATTAACCGTAATGACCCAAAACTATGTAACAGTTCAAGAAGATAGTTTACACTATTTTAAACCACTACATACTTTTCTGTGGTTACTATAACGGGACCCGGATTGGCAAACGTTTTCAAGATCAATCCATCAGTGTCAAGATTTCTTAAGGGGCAACTCGGGTTAGTGCTCCTCGCCGCTAAATAAATTTGCTTAGTTAATTAATAGCAAATAAATCTAATATCACCATATTTAATCATTGATGTTTATTCTCAAGCTCATGACCAAGTTTAAAATAGTTTTTAGATGCGAAAGCGCCCAGAATTTAGTTTATGTTACAGAAAAAAACATGTATTTTATTCCTTGCGTCAGCAAATTAGAATATATAATAGATAGAATGACACAGTTAATTTTATGTTTCATAAATAAAATATGTTTCAAAAAAAATGTTTAGGTGCACATGCTTAGATTCGATCAGGGTTGAGTTACAACCCTGACCGAATGTAAGTATACACCATAATATGCCAGCCTTTTGACTAAATCAACGATCAATATTTTTTTTGAAAAAGACGAAAGTAAACACTCTATAACTGTTAAGGTTGCATGCCATAAAACTTGTATTTCTTATACTAAATTATTACTAAATTTTGCCAACCAGTTTTTTGTTGGTTTATTATTGACAAATTCTTAGAATGTCCTAGTTTGAAGATTACCCATGTTTAACTTCACAATTTTGTTTTATTCTTTCTGGAATATTCTGTTACATACGTACTGCTTCTTTGGAAAATAGAAACTAAGCATTTTGGCCTTCATGATACTCGAAAGCTTCCGGCTTTCTTTACGCTGCGGGATCTCCCAAACAAGAGATTTCCAAAAATGGATTAGATTTTATTTCGTTGATTCTACTTTAATTCTGCTTATGTAAACTTTTCTACCTATCACACGTATTTGCTTTGATCGATTTTATGCAAAATTAAAACCCTACTCACTTACAGGGCTAGATGTCTTCTTCCGAGTCATTTTACGCTTGTTTGAACGTATTGCCAATATCCCTTTCATCTGATTTTGATGGCAATAATAGTGGGATTCACTTAACAAAATATAACATAATCGAAAATATTATGAATATTTTAAGGGTGTCATATTTACTAAATGGTAATTTTAAAAAGTCGCATAAACATAAATCTGTAAAAAATCAGCAAAGCCAGTTAAAATAGCAAAGCTGAAACAGTTAATGTATGTGTTTTTTTTAATTTTTAGTGTGCACCACAAGTATCTTGATTTGCTTGAAAATCAAACTTTATATAGACTACAGTTTGGAAGAAAGAAAATTGATAATAAATCACATTAAGCAGAAATGAAGTCTGGTTCATAACATGTTTGTTACTAGGGGTTCTATTGAAAAATGTCTTCACTCGATATTACGAATACCTTGGAATGGGTGATATGAAGATATAAACTGAACTCAGGGATTATTTAGCTTTAGAGTATAGAACGAAATATGTAAAGAGTAACTTTAAGTACATCGGAAATACAGATCGTGAATAGATAGCGAAAATTTTGAAGTTAACCCTTTATATATTATCATCGCCTTTTCCATACAACTCATTGCACTTGATGAAATCTCATTGCATACAAATGTAATTTTTTTCTTGACGGTATTTAATAATACAAAAATGCTAAGAAGTTTAAATATTTTAAAGGGGTTTTTAAACAGATCAGGAAAACAACTGCTTGTGGATAAGAAAAACCATCCTTTGTTATATTCGAACAACACACTTACATTTTCTGTTAAAACCTTAACTTATGTAGCAGACTTTGGTTTTCTAATCTCTACGACAAAACTATTAAATCTTCATTAACCAGTATCAGAATATTAGCATTTTTAAGCGACCTCCGTCACTCATACCCAGTAAATTTAAGAAAACTCCAACTAACCAAATGTGGAATGCATTTCAAGTGATTGGAAAGGAAGAATATCTTCGTATAAATCTGATTTAAATAGAGCAATTGCCCGGCATGATAGTGTGACAAACCTGATAACAATAAATAGCGCTGGCATATATAGTTCATAAAAGGAACAGTAAACCTCGAAAGGCTTTGTCCAGAGACTCATAACCGAAGAATTGGGAAATGAATTGAACGCAACACTTGATTCTTTAAGCGCTTTGCTTGATATCGCCTCTAAGCATAAAGCAGGTCCATATTTGTAATTGTTTGTAGGTTTCGGTAAATCGTTCTTGTTTTTCGAAAGTAATCAATTGCTAAATAAATTTGGGTTAGCTGCATCAGCTGTTTAAAAAATTAATGCTTTAAAAAATTATTTTATAACCTGGTTGTTTTTAAATTAACTTGGGAGGTAGCTGGTGTAAAATGCACAATAGATGCAGATTTTTTAGTAGGCTCAAATTTGCGATTGGAGCAAAATAGACACCTTCCATTAGCATCTTGACAACTAGATTAAGAAACACTGGTAGAACTCTCACACATATAAAAATTTGATAAAAAACAAAACGTAATGTGACTAATAGCTCCTTGGAGCGAAAATATGAGACTTTTTGTCAATACAGAGAAGGGCAAATATTGACACACATTAAATGAGTATGTTGATTTAAGAATATTTTAATTACATGTCCATATGTGCGCCAATCTTGACTTCAGGAAAATAATTTACTTCGTTTTTGAGATCATTTTATATATGTCTATAAATACATCAAAAACCGGACCTATACACTGATGCCGAAAGTACATATATCTCAAACCTATTCTAACTACATTTGATTGATATCTTTTTTCTTTATAAATACTTGTAACAGTCCAGTTTCTTATCCCTGCACTTTTAACTTCCAACCCTCTTCAAACCGCTGAACAGTTTGAAATATTAAAAAAGCAATTTCTTGGGAAATCTAAACTTACTAAAGGTGGCATCCTGAAAGTCGTACGTCTGGGCGAGATGGCAGGCTGCCCCCAACAAGACAGCATACAAAGTCACTAGTTTATTCATGATGTTGCCCGAGGTATTAGCACTGAATATTAGAGGTCCAGAGCCATTTATATAACCCTGCGGTATCCTGCAAATTAATATCCTACCACAAGATTTTACCTGACGCGCTTTTGAAGATTGACAAGGCCCATGCAATTGCGGGCTCCGAACAACATTACCTACTAATTGGTATTTGGTTGAATGTTAGTTGTAGCTGTCTTCATTTTTTCACATGCCCTAGTTGAATTACTATTTATTTATTTAGCGTATGGATGCTTCACAATACGATATAAGAAAACCACAAGTAAAAACAAAAAAAAACAATTCAATGTGTACAAACTCTATAACTACTCAACAAAAC